TCAAAGTTTCCGTTTTCGTATATCGTCTCTGTCCGCTTATCTGATCTACATCACGAAGGGGAATCAGGTGATGATGAAAGCTTACAGTCTGTTGGAAATAATTTTGCGCCAATTTAGAAGCAAAAAATACTTGACATTATTATACTGTAGATATCTGAATTGATGTCGGAGTAATGAATGCCTATCTTGATTTCGCTATATGATCATCGTATCTGACTTTGATGACCCTCATGCATGGCAATCGACCAGTTTGAATAAAAACGATTCTACATCGTCTACTGAGACAATAATGAATCCACAAAAGGAGAGATAAGTAATAGAAACTGGTGGAATTTGAAGCCGGTAGTCTACACTTCTCAGGTAATCCTTTTTACAGCTGTAGTAAATTATTCACTGAATTATAGTAATAATAATAATTTGCTTTATTTCAAAACAGAACTTGTGATACAGAATGGAATTCTCAGCATTCTTACTGAAGTATTGCATCCAGTTAGTACATTATCAATAAATAAAATTTTACATAGATTAAAGAGATCTCAGTTCATTATGACAACAACATATTGGCGTGTCGGTAGTAAAGCCAAAGTTGAACAGTGTTTGAAGGTGTTAGAAAAGTAGGTGCTATCATATTTACTGGCGTAAGCGGAAGAGAGAAACAAAGCAGCACATAACAGAGAAAGAGAGAGAGATAAAAGGAAAAGAAAGAAAGAAAACGTTGTACCTATAAATGATATGAATTGGAAAGACGAGATCCATTTGTTCTACTGACTATTTATTAAGTTATAGGTATCACTCCTAACGCTTTCTTTATCGCACAAAACACGAGCTAAGTAGGGTATGGTTGAAGTTTTGTACTTGCTAGTGCGACCGTATAGTTTCCTATATAGGCTTCTGGTCTCCTGCCTGATGAGAAACAAAGGGAGATTTGTGAATGAAGAGGGTGATGTGAGTTAGATAGAATGGATTTAACCCATTTTTCACATGAGTTCATGTGCCTGTCAACCAGAATATTAACAAGCTGGTTAAGTGTCACGTTGCTTACCCTGCTGATGACAACCTTTAACATCCTCCGTATTATGTTATAGTCTTTCTTCAGTAGCCTGGGAAAAACTAAGGGGGAACAATAGACAATAATAGGTAGAATGCGAGAGTTAACGAATTGTAGGAGTGAGGGTTGGTTTATACCAGAATGTCTTAACTTCTTGATGTAGAAGGTAAGACGGAATATTTTCTTAGAAATCGCTAAGATATGAGACGACCAGGAAAGATCAGCAGATATAATGACGCCTAGGTATTTAATTTCCGACTTGGTTTCTATGTGTCACTCAACAAATGTTGTATGTGACTGGCTAACATCAACTGTGCAATACTTTATGTAGTGAAGCCAGCTTTTGGTTTGACCATCTCAAACTCTTTTCTAGTCAGAGACAGTGACTCAGCATGCGTGATACGTGTCCTAACTATTTCGATCAATTCACATTCCCAACCTCATTGATCAACCTACCCTAACTACCAAACATTCTATGCCTAAACCGAATAGTATTCACTATATCATAGCAGTTCACACAGCAGATAGAACGCAATTACTTATAGCTAACGTCTTCACGTTTTCCACTTTCAGCGTCCATGTTTGAGAGAGCCATAGATGGACAACGGAGAGAACTGCTGGGTGGCGTACACGTCCTTTGATTGATAGCCAGCAGGATGTCACGTCCAAGACAATTACGTTCCAGGCTTTTGTATCCATGCAATCAGTATGTTGGGGGTCAACATGCTCTATCACTTCACTCTCTATCTTTTAAACTAAGAGTCAGTAAAGACCAGTCTTGCAACATCCGTTATCTTACATTTGACGATAGTCGGATTTGTACTAAGTGGTTTGTTCAAAAGACTCAGCATTTTTTTCAATATCTAGGAAGAAAATATCATTTAAATACCCTAAGGTAATAATCTCGTTAACTAAGAATATGCAGAGAATATAGTTATCCCTCCTGGGTAAAGACGCAGAGTCTTCTGAACACCTTGGGTGTTAGCAGTCTTCGAATGTTTGGCATGCGATGATGCTACAGGACTGGACTGTCCCACATCGACTCACTCCTAGCTTAAAGATAGGAAGTGAAGTAAAGTGCCATGGAGTGTTGATAGCTACACTTATTTGGGAAGTTGCATCAGCCGACAACAGCGGGTTGATCGTTGACGAAATCTTAGTACGTATACAGAAGGCTCGTTTGGCATTCGCCTGCCAGCCTACGCCATCTCTAGCTAAGTAGACATGATATCCGGTTGTCCGTCGACCAATGGGCGTGTGAACCGCTCAGCATTTCGCTCTCTTCTCCTACTCTATGGTTGTGAGTGGGAATTATTCATTGAAATAGAAGACATGAGAAGCCTGCCTAGCTATCTGTCGTTGATCACAGGTGCCTGCGTTGTATCTCCCGTGTTAAATGTTGTAACAAGGTGAGCAATAATGAGGTTAGCCACCTGTCGAGTGCTTTTTAAATCAATGAAAGGGAATCCATCGACGAGGTCGTGAAGTTACATTGATTGAGATGGTTAGGACATGTGTTATTCATGCTTAGCCATCGATCGCCTACCTTGACAACGGGAAATGTTAGCTGATATAGGATGGATTAGGCTGCGAAAGAGTTAGCTATTGGTGGTAAAACGAAAACATGGCTTCGTCAGTCAGTGACATCCACGGAAGATCTGAAGTCTCAAATGTCAAACAAATCACAGTGAAGAAAAAGCCAATCTACATTCAACTTGATTATAAAGGTGAAAATAGTACAGCGATTGTCAACAGAAGATTGAGAACATCACTAGGCACAGCCTATCTTGCAGCTAAGCTCGTTCCCGTCTATCCAACAACTTACTCTTTGATGCAATCAAAAATCGATAGATATCATTCTCATGTTAACGCCAACGGTATATACAAGTTTACATGTATCTGCGGGAGCATTTTCATTGGAAGGACAGAAAGATGGGCATATCTACGATTTTCTGAACATGTACCAAGAAGCTTATGTCTAAAGGAAACAAATGCTTTAAACAATGCAATCGCCGGGCATCTCCTTGACACGGGTCATGTGGGGTTGCAAAAACTGTTGTTCTTGCTTAATTCAAATTCACAACAGTTAATTTAAGCCGGCCAGACACGTAGGGAGGTAGGTGTAGACTTCCTGACTAGCTGGTTGTAGTCCTCGGCAGATTAAGAACCAATGACGGCTGTAAACAATTATGGGTAATATGGCTAAAAATCCCCACTGTCACTGATGGCGCAGATGTATTCAATCTTTGACATTTATCCCATCCAATAAAATTCTATTGTCCCCCCCCCCCATATGAACATTCTTGTTTCTTCATATACCGGTTTATTATCTCACGTTACTCTGTTCTCTTACTTACTTTATGTGAACTATATGGAGAGAGTGTGGCAAGTTGAACTGGTGCTCATTAGTGAGTCAGTCGGAAAGTCATAAACCCCAAGTCAAGGAGACTACCCTCTCCAACCATCCTACCTCCCATTTCTCCTGCATTTACAAAATCAATAAATACAAAACTAACAAAACGTTTCTAATAATATTTTTTAAGCATCATCACAAATGAAACACACTCACAAATGCACACACAAATATTTTAACACAAAATACATCTGTTGTTATGAATTTGACTGACACTGCTGCTGCTACTACTACTTATAAAAACAAAATAAGTAGTAGTAGTAGTAGTAACCCAACTAAAAATTTGTCTGGCTGATTTTGCGTTGTAAGTAAGGATTAATTATTTCCAACCAAAATAAAAAAAGAGACGGACAGAAAAGAATCAACCAAACAAGAAATCAGAAAAAAATATGATGTAGATATATATTTCTTCCACTGTTGTGTATATTTATTATATAATTTAATTTTTGTACGCAAAATAATATTAATTGTAACAACGATAATACTATGGAAACTGACGATGAAGCCGTTTATTTTATCGATTGACTCTTATTGCTATTATTATTATCAATAAAACATGGCAACACATATGGGGAAAAAACAGGAATTAGCGCAGAAATGTGAAAGCGTAGTGAGGCAAAGGCGTGCGAGGCAGGGGTGGGGAGAAGGCGCTGACAGGTGCGTCAATGCATATGTGAAAGAGTGGCTGTGACAAAAAGGAAGTGATTGGAATACTCGACAATTTAACATTTTCTCGAGTTCCTCCTGTTTTTTGTTCTTCTCAAGGGTAAGAAAAAATAAATCAAACAAGAGAATGCTGAATACTTCACAACATGTTCACACGCACAAACACACACGTATATATAGTTACTAATTGTTAAGCATTGCCTTCACAATTATTAATTACATAAAATGGAACACATATAAGAAGAAGAACTAAATAAACTCGGGCAAAATAAAAATAAAAACCAAAACACACATAAATGAACTGTTTTACTCTTCCGGGGGAGAAAACGAAAACTCCCCTTCGATACAAACAACTTGCCCGAATGTATACACACACGGGAAAAGCATAAAGCAATAAATAAGCAACTAGGCCGATTGATTGATGGTGGGGGTGATTAGACGTGAAAAGCTCCGATTAACAATTAGAACAAATTGGGACGGAGAGATGAGAAACCAAAATGACAAAAAAAGGGATAAAGAAGGAGTACCGCGGAGGTATTTGAAAGAGTGACAAGGAGAAAGAAGTGATGTATACAAATTTTGAAAAAATATATAATATAATTAAATGCTGAAAATAAGACACTCATGAAAAAGCGGGAAAAAGATTTGCCGGAGAAAAGAGGAAGTTTAAATTTAATCTCATCTTTAAGCCTTTCTTTGTCTGTCTGTCTGTATTGCTCATCAACAAAATTTTCCGTAGAAGCACACATCAACGACGAAGAACATGGATACAGGGGAGATAGAGGAAGAGATGTAGGAATAAAAGCGCTGAAAACAAAATAGTATGGCGGTAACAGACGCAAAAAGGGGTCGATAAACATTTCATCATGTGTTTGTATGTAGGGAGAAAGCATTTTATAATCCACGAGTAAGTAGATGAGAACCAGCTTTATGCTCTGATGTTGTATCTATATCATGATATCTTTGTTCGGCTGTGACTATCGTTGTTGTCGGTGACGGTGATACTGGTTTACGATCTAGATGTATGCCAACTGTTAATTCATATAAAATAGCACCAATCAACGCACCAATATATGGACCTAGGATAGGTATCCAAAAGAAGTAATTGCCGGATGTGAATGCTGAACCTCCCCAACCTGTGAAAAAATACAGAAAAATATAAGGCAAAAGTCAGTGATTAAATGTATGGGTTAATATAGACTGGGTTTTATTTAAATATAACGTCCAACAGACGGTTTGTAGGGATTTGATTTGTCCTGTAGCCGTTTCGTCCCAGTTTGGAATTCTTCATCAGTATGCACCCACCAGTGTTTGAATACAAGAACTTCCGGTTACAAGTCATGTCTCAAAGTGTCTATCCGTGACTTGTGTATTCATTAAACTTCCAGTGGTTTTCAGCCAGTTTGGCTCTGCTGGCTGAGTCACGCCAATTACTTCGCTCGGGTGCGCCCGACTCCGTCAGCTGTTTACAGATTATTAGCACGAAAGTTATTAAGGTAGCCAATATTATCAAGTAATTGTTTACAGGTTTTATCATGAGATGACAGCTGTCTCATCCTCCTGGTGTGGGACTCTATTTGGCAGCATGCGTCCACCAAGCTTCGAATCTGGGACCTTCGGGTTACAAGGCGAGCTCGTGGACCATTCATCAGCCGATAGCACCTGATCTAACGGCCCATGATTTCCAGCTTCTAACTATTCGCAATACACATAAAGCGTACCTGCCTGACAATAACACACTGGCGAGTGATTGTCCTTTTACCCTACTTGGTGAACCCCAGTGATTACGACTTCTCACAAAAACTCCAGGTAACCTCAGATTTTAATTATGAAGTTTGGTTTGCAGACAAATATAAGTGTAAATTAATTTCACACTTTCCATGTATATTATAATATATATACCCGTATATTATATATATACACATAGACACTTCCAATGCCTGCATATTACGTAATAGCATACAATTTTGGCAAGTAACAAGAAGTTATTCAAATCGCAAATTTAATTAATGAGTACAGTAAATTTGAGGATTGATTTCTTCAGTTTCAAATGGCAGATGGGAACCAGTGGGGGGTAGGTGGGCGTTTATCGGCGCTGTTTGTCCGATCGATCACTGATTTATATTCCATTACCAGTGGTAGGGTATACTACGGATGTTTTGATCATTGACTGAGTAGTAATCAATGTTATGAGCCATTTACCCTCAGCTTTTGGTTGAAACTGAATTTCTGTTACTTAAAAATCAAAGTATTTCATTACACTCCTACGTGGAGGAAGTCAATCGCAAGTCCGAATAGTTCAGCGGTCACGTCGCTTCTGACTACAGTACTGGGTGATGCGTGTCTGAATCTAAGTAGGGGACGTGAGTAAGTCCTTCAAGATTGCAGATACGCCTCACTGATTGGTGAGTACCAACAAGCACCAAAAAAAGATAAAGTCATCCATCCCGCTGGCCTGTGGTTCAAACTGTGCTTACAGGCTACAAAAGTGAAGGAAGTAACCTCTGTCAAATCTCTCCCGTTGATGGTGATTGGTACTGGTTGGTTTGTTGGTTGGTTATCTTCATCACCTCCATCTTCTCTATGTCCACCTGTAATCTGTCCTAACTTCGTTGCCAGCCTCTTCAGCCAGCTTTTCGGTTTTCGCCTGCAAGTCTTCCAGTTTATGTGGCATTAGACATAAATCATCGGTACTTTATATATGCAAATTTCGATTTCAATTTATTGTAATTTCAAATGTCAACATAAATTTAATAAGAAGAAATCTATGGTCGAAACGTGTCACCCTTTCATGTCTGCTATATTGATGTCAGCGTTAGAATGCCCGCCAACCACGCCCCCCCCCGTGGTCCAGAGCTCACTTCCTGCCCAGCGTGCACCTCTTCTTTTTTTAGCCGGTTATAAATGCCTGACAAACAAGGAAGGTTGGACACGTCATCATATCACGACAGTCATTGAGTGTTATTGTTCAGCTAGACTGCATAAGCGACCTGCTAAGCAGGAGACTGGATAAACTTCAGTATTCCTCTCAAAAATGCTGTCATTCGGTCACGCATTCATAGCCTCTTCTGAATGCTAAGTTCTGTTCACCGCCTTCACGAGGCGATGGTGGTTCCTCACAAAAGTCGAAAATCGAATATGAACACCTACAGCTCACGGATGAACTGGTGGAAATGCTCGCTTATACCTAGGGGAGCTAGAAAGCTCAGATTCTAATGCTATGGCTTAAAAATATGGTCTCCAGAATCCGATTAGATGAAACGCCATACGAACTTGTTTTTGGTCATCAGAAACATCAAGGGAACGTAACTCCTGATTCTGTGCCACTCACTGCCTTGTGGATTAGACTTCAATTCAAAGGCATAAGAGAAGGAGGAGGAGGAGAGTGGATGGCTGCTTAAGATAACCATCTGCTACTTCAGTCTAGGAGTCCAGGCAGTATATATCAGTTCTTGCTTAAACTATGCGATTTTCTGTGGCGTATTTCTTGGTGTCTGTTTTAATAATACTAGTAGTGTGGTGAGAGCTGTCTACTAGCCAAATTGGCAGACAGTAATTTACGTCAATGTTTACGTTCTCAAGATTGGTCGTGAGAAAATATGAACAAAGACTGATTCAAAACCGACTACAGCAGACTTTGCGTAGGCGGATACAGTTAACATATAGAGGATTTGACATTCAAGAAACAGTCACAAAGAGATGAAAGATTAACTTTAAGTGAGAAACAACCAATCAGAAGACTGTGTTTGTTTACTTAACTAAACTATAATAATGTACATGAAAATATATAAATATGCTTTGATTTCCTTAATAAACGATCTGTTGCCTGGCCCTTGTCTTCTGTTGTTAAAGTAGTAATAATAGTAATACACGACATTACATCTTCCCTCACTTTACTAATTAATTATTTCCGCTAATTGATCAACATAATTTCTGTATTGTTGGTATTAGATGGTTGGAGGTAATCAGCCACAGGAAGCCTCGCCTCACCTAGGTTTCGTGCTAGTTGGAACTCATCAGCAAGGTGTACCTGCAACTGCCTTGAAGGAACTCATGTCCCTTCTGAGATTCTCGACTGATAGAATTCAGTCTGCAGTGAAGATAAGACTGAACACTAGTTACTGACTAGTGTGAAATCAAAAAAAGAATTTCTGTATATTGTTTCATTGCATTAAAACACATCTGTTGATGAAGACTATAAGATCTTTAATAATTCTTCCCTTGACTTAGTGTCTTTTTACTGGGTTTAATAAGAGATTCATTTCTTTCTATGTTCCCACAGTTGTTACTGCTACATGATGATTACACAATTTGAAAACAACCACCACCACCACCACCTTCACACTACACTAATGATATTAAAAACATAAATCATCGTGAATACAAGTCATTCGGAAAACAAGCTCTCTCTTCCCCCCCCCCCCCCAAACACACATTACTACCAACTGTTTATTTTGCACGAAATTCATTCACATTCACATTCACAAATACACACACACACAAACACAAATGGCAAAGTGGGAAATATGATGGTTATCATGAACAATTTTCCACTGGATGATAAGAGCCCTAATTGAATTGACTTCGCCAACTCACACATATGTACGCACAAGTGCACACGCACAGAGACAAAAAACAAACAAGAATAAGCAATACAACAAAAATGAATGAAACGAATTGCTGAAGAATTTCGAAGATGTGTATTTTAACAATGCCAATGCAGCATTTCTCGATGAACATAACTCATAAACTATGAAACTATTAATCATAGAAATGTTGTTGGGAATGGGATGCGTGTGTAATACAAGTAGGACGCTTACATTCGTAACTAATCTTAGTCGTATTAATAATATGAAGTTGGCTGCCTACTATCGCCAATGATTTTCCTGATTGCAGTAGATTGGATGATGCGACAAACAGCGGGCAATGAGGAAATAGGCATAAAATGGACCCACACAAAAAACTTGGAGGATCTGGACTTCGCCGATGATATATGTCTGATTTCCCACAAACTGGAAGACATGCAAACGAAAAGCAACAAGTTAGCAGAAGAAGCATCAAAGATACGACTTCAGGTGAACATAGAGAAAACAGAGGTGATGAAGATTCCTGGCCAATACCACCGCCAACAACAACAGACAACAATCAGCATAAATGGGAGGAACCTGAAAGAAACAACCTCCTTTACCTACCGACCTGGGAAGCATCGTTTCAACTACGGGCTAACGGAACTGACGAGGATATCAAAGCAAGAATCGGAAAAGCAAGACAAGCTTTCACTACTTTCAAGTCTGTGTGGAAGTCAATTCTCAGCACATAGCATCAAAAATAAGATCTGGATTTTCAAATCCAATGTGAAGTCAGTGCTACTCGCTATACGGATCAGAGACTTGGCGCGTCATAAAGAGCATCTCAAGCAAACTACAGACCGTCATTAACAGTTGTCTTCGCTCAATACTCAAGATCATATGGCCAGTCAGAAAAGATCAGCAACAGGGATGGATCTCTGGGAGCGAATCAGCCCAGCAGGAACCGAATGTGAAACAAATAAGCAGGAAGAAATGGAGATGGATTGGCTGGCCATACTCTGAGGAAACCATCAAGTGACATCACTAGACAAGCCATTGCTCGAGTGGAACCCGGCCGAAAGGGAAGCGGCGAGTTTGTCGTTAGTGCAAGGGTGACTTGGAGGAGGTCATGTGAAGAGGAGATGAAAACGGGTGGGCAGACTTGGAGTCAGGTGAAGACTAAATCAGAGAACTGAACGCAATGGAGATGCACAGCTGAAGCCCTATGTTCCTCTAGGAATTAAAGGAAACAATAATAATAATAACGCATTTCTCGTTGATCATAACTCATAAACTATGAAACTATTAATCACAGAAATGTTGTTGGGAATGGGATGCGTGTAATACAAAAAAGCAGGACGCTTACATTAGCGATTAATCCTAGTCGAGGTAATAATATGAAGTGAGTGAGTGGTTTCAATGTAGGACTTTGCACAGATGTACAACAGTTCGAGTGACCACTCTCCCTCCATGTAGCACACACAAAGCAAGAGAAGAGAGTTAAGAGAGATAAAAAACAGAAATATGGGGCAAAAAGAACAGTTACATATAGAAGTTAATATATGTGT